GTAAAACGAGCGATCAGGAGTCCGACGATGGTTAAAAAGACCATTATATTGATAACAAACATAGCTTTTCCCAGTGTGAGGATTGCGTCCGATTCGATAGGAAGGACAGAAAGAGTAAAAGCTACTCCTCCTGTAGACATTGTCGATGCGAACCAGGCTTTCATAAGTTAGTAATGAAGAATACGTAGGGGAAGTCCTGGAGCTTCAAGTACCATAAGTAAAATGTCTTAAGCGCTCGGAGAAAGTGAGGTTCTGAATAGGTTCTTCCTTCTCCGGAAGTTCCTTAAGGCCAATTTCGACATCGACATCTTCAAAATCTCTTCCAAGAATATTTTCATTTGGAGCATTGGGAGAAACCATTTTGGCTATATTGAACTGAGCCAGCAGTCTAAATTTGTGGTTTCTACGAGGATAAGAAGAAAAGTATTGGGATGAGCAAACGAGGAGAAAATGAGAGACCGTTAGGTAAACACAGATACATCCAACTACTTTCGTTGTCGAGAAAAGTAGCTCGTATTATATTAGTGTTCTAATGAAGTTAGGGAAATCGACTCTGGGGAAGCATTTGACAGATGTGGGATGACGACCTCATTTTGAAGAATCTCGAGTTCACGGATACAGGAGACGACAATCTCCATGTGGTGGAGCCTTCTTTGTCTCGTAATTACTACCAAGAATCCAAGCTGTCGAAGATATAACTAAAACGACACCATATGGAGCATTCGATGGCCAAGTTTGCCGTAACACAAAGGAAACAACGAAAATATGCCCGAAACCGAAAAAAAGTGGATTTCCAAGAGATAAGAACTTCAGATGAAGAGCCTCAATGAGTATCTCAGGGCGACACTCTTCAACCAAGGAGACGATCTTTAAACTCCCGGTACTTTAAAATCGTCGGAGCCAAGTAAAGTTTAACTACTGAGCCTTGGCTTCAAGGGACGTCGCGGGTGGCTTCAGGCTAGGCAAGCACCCTGGACCAGCTGCATACGCGGTATTATCAGGAACTCGATGTCCCGTAATGTTCCGAGCACGCCAATGCCACTGCCAGCTGTTCTGAATCTGTTTAACTTTGTAAAAGAAGTATAAATATCCTATGAAAGATCAAGACGAAGAACAGTAAACGCGTTGACGGAGACTTGGCAGGGACATCCGGTCAGGGAAGCCCCCTTTCGTATGACCTATGAAGACCTCGATCTCATTTCATGAATCTAGAAGCCAGAGATTCATGTTGTTAACAGCAGTTAGATTGCCAAGAGATCTTCGCACAGAATGAAGAAAGTTCGAGTAAAAATAGTACTGTGTCTATATCCCGGTAGTGATTTAGCATGCCGCGATAGTTCGCGCTAACAAACTACCGTGACTGTGTCTAATTGGACATGAGTAGCCCCTATGAACATTGGGCCAAGATGGTATGGACCCTTGGTGAACTGCATTGGTGAAATTGAGACCAAAGAAGGTGAAATTTATGAAATTGATGACGAAGCTCCAACATGAGTGCGCCTTGTCAGGCTATCAAGATGAAGAGTTGCTGTCTTGGCCATCATTTCAATTCAATATGATCTTTGACGATCAGTCTATCAACGTGTGATATCGTAGCACAGCCACGAATGGTATCAAGTCGATCATGGAACGTGTGGAATAACTATAAGATGCTAATGATTTAGCATGGAAGAAATTTCAATCCCAATGAAAAATGAATAGATGGAATAAAACCTAAAAAAGGAATAAATGGTGGTTTGATGTTTTGGGGGGTGTCTGGGTGTTTTGATGTTTTGATGTTTTGAATCGCACATTGGTTTGAGTCGTGCAATTTTGAGGGATGCGCTAAGCTTAATGTAGATGGATGCGCACTAGCACGTGATTTATCGATCTTCCATACAATCTCAAGCCTTTCCTCAGTTTCGTTTCGTTTCAACATTTGCTCGCATTGATTTTGACACTGGTCTTGCTTGCTAACTATATTTATAGAATATTCTCTGTCAAGGCCGTTTGCCATGATATCACGTGATATGGTTTATGTACCCTCTGAGCCTTCCGAGATCTCTTCTCTCTCGTGTCAACATTTGCCCGATCAGTCATTTTTGAAAGGCTTCAAAAACACCCCCAGTCGTCTCGATCCTAATTTTCCATGTTGCTACAACTCAATCTGAAGTGTATTGTAATTAACCCTTGACCTTCGACGCGTTTTCCGGGAAATTGAATACCGACATGACAAGATCACCGATGCAGCGGTATAATAGCCACAAACCAATCTGGGATGCGGGGAAATGATGAATCTGCACCTCCGTAGCCGTACGCTCTATCAGGTACCAATGTGCCCTTGAATCTTATTACACTCATTCGAAGGTTTGAGAGAAGATGCTACTTCGAGTCTGAGTTAGATGCAATGGCGCAATAAGATCCATCAAGCATTGAGATAGTTTTCATTTTGTGCTTCTCTAGATCAAGTGCGGAGTAACGGAGTATTATTTCGAGAATTGTTTTCACAGCTCTCTGCACAGCTGTCTCTATCTCTCCCCGAGCTCCCCGGTGATCGTATTAATTGATGTAATATCGAAGTGCCTATTTTCTCATCATGAGATCTTCCAACTTTGCGGATAAAAGAATGTTACTTCGAAATTGGGGTTTGCATCTCGTACAAGTGGATTTACCCATGTTTGTACATACCTGGTGGGGTTGCTTTTGAGCAATGAATGTGGTGGCATACCCACAGCGGAAATCAAATAATCACATTTCATATTATTGGGGCGCCAAAAGAGTTTTTGGATCACTAGAGCAAAAGGAATCTCAATGCAGATACTGCTGCCGGTGATCATGCCGGAGTATAAGCTTTGTTCAATTGGGGAACTAGCAGATAGTCTCAAGATTCAACCTTGGATTTGGCACCTTCTCCGATTTTGGAGAATAGAATGTTGTATATATATGAGGTGGTCTTAATCCACGTCCGAATGTCTGTATCTAATCACCAATACACTACATACTTTAGGCGCGAATAGTCAAAATGTTGTTCGGTGTATTTTTGCTACTTTCCTTTTGGAGCAGCTACGTACTCGCTTCCCTCCAGATCGTAAGTATCGCCCCAAGGTAATTTCGACGCAATAGCTTACAAATTTTCAGATATCAGGGGCAACATGGACAGCTTCTGGTCTCAATCAACATATCCAAGCTCATGGAGGTGGAATAATCCAAGTCGGATCGACCTAGTCAGTAACTAGGCTTCCAGTATTTATTACAAACTAATTAGTATCAATCATAGCTATTGGGCCGGAGAGAACAAACTGAATGGAAGTGCTTTCCAATCAATCAACTGCTACTCGAGCACAGATCTTGTGAATTGGAAATTCAATTCTTATCTTCTTACAGTGCAATCATCTGGAGATCTGGGGCCCAATCGAGTTGTGGAGCGTCCACACATAATGTACAATGCTGCAACTGCTAAATATGTTATGTGGATGCATATTGATGATTCGAGTTACGGCGAAGCAAGGGCTGGTGTTGCAACTAGCAGCAGTGTTTGTGGAACTTATACATACTTGTGAGTTAATGAATTTGACAGTGCCGGAAAATAATGAGTTTCAAGGTGGACTCGATTGAAAACGAGACTGATGTGGAATATAATAGAGGAGCAAGTCAACCATTGGGCTACCAAAGCAGAGATCTCAATGTGTTTAAAGGTATGTGGATATGATATTCCGCACCCTTTCTATGATTAACGAGAAGCTAGATACCGATGGAACAGGATACCTATTGACTGAAGATGTAATATCCTTTTTAGCCTGTTATCTTCCATTCAAAACCAGCTCTGACTATCTTACAGCGAGTAAACGGTCTACGAATTGACAAACTCTCAGCCGATTATACATCAGTCGTCTCGGCTGTTTACACATTTGCCGATTACGAAGCTCCTGCCATATATAAAAGTGGCAGCACTTATTTTATGTTTGCCAGTCACTTATCTGGTTGGGGTATGGATGCCTTTCTTCTTTTCACCGTCTCCCTGAGGATGATTGTGCCAATCTTGATATAAAATTACATTCTCTCCAAATGATCAATAACTGAGCTCGTGCCCATTAGATCCGAACGACAATGTTTACGCCACAGCGACAAATCTGTCAGGGCCTTGGTCTGCCTGGGCCAATTTTGCAACAGTCGGATCAAACACCTACAGCAGTCAGACGGCTGCTGTGGTCAGTATTAATGGGGTTGTCATGTAAATATATCTTTCATTCATCCTCGACCTTGAAAAATAGACCATCACTACCAGAAAACTCAGTGCTAACCAAATACAGGTATATGGGAGATCGATGGCATTCATCCAACCTCATGACTTCTACTTACGTCTGGTTACCTATCACAATATCCGGAACGACGGCAACTATGGTATGTAAAAGGTACCGACAAAAACACCAGAAACTAACGTAAACAGAGTAACCAAGTAAATTGGAGCATCAACCCAACAGCAGGAACATGGACTGCCGGTCCTACTGAAACAACTCCAGAGGCCGAGGCTAGCACAAATACTCTCGCTAATGGTGCGATAAACCTCACATGTTCCGGATGCTCAGGTGGCGTCCAAGTGGGCTATATTGGCGGGCCCAGTCCTGGGGGCACTTTGACTATGAATGGAGTGAGTAGCTCCGTAGCAACTACCACCTCGATTCGAATTCATCATACGAATGGTGATTCGGTGCAACGCTATGCAAATGTTGTGGTCAATGGAGTCAGCAATATTCTTGCCTTCTTACCAACAACGGATGGCAATACACCTGGCACAAGCGTCTTGACTACAGCGCTAAAAAGTGGAACTACAAATGTCATTCAATTTCAGTCTTATAATTCTGGATGGGGTAAGTTTATGATATTCATTATTCGTTATTCGTTATTCATTGATAATACGTCAATGTGTCTGGTACTAACATCCCATGCAGCACCGAACATTGATCGCATAATGGTTCCCGTCTCTTAAAACCCGCAAGCTCTCTTTTCGCATGCGGAGGCGATTATGAATCCCTTACACCACCAATGCTACTTTTCTTCTTCTCCAATCTCAGAAACGTGTAGCTCTCACTCAACAAATCAATAGGATCAGCATCCCCTTTCTTAAAACTTTGCATGACCCTTCCAGGCAGTGAATATTTTCTCCTCAAAACCTTTCTATCCCCCCAAACCTCCCAACGTCCCCTAATCATACTTCTTGAAATCAAACTCACCACACTCGTCGGCGGCATCGGAGCATTCGTACAAATCTCCCTTAACATCCTTTCCAAGCCCCTAAAAATCCCGGGATCCACAACCCTCAGATGCGCCAATTGTTTCCTCGTTTCCTTGATCGCACTCTCAGTCGCATATTCATACTGGCATCCCATCATTCTAAATCTCAAATACTTTGCCAGTACCGTCGCACATAGTAATGATAAATCTCCATTCATATGTGCAACTACTTTCCCAGTGCGATAATGACACGGTATCTCAATCGTAGTGATTGCCTTCTTCCGCAGCGCAAACGTACCAATCTGTATCTCCAATCGTGAAAATTCGTCCCATCCTTCATCCGCAGCCTCGAGATCGTCAGCAATACTGCTAGGTGATACATATACCCATATATAACCCGTTGCACACGCACAGAGAGAATACGTCGCGCCGTCACTCAAATTTTCTTTTTGGAAAAAAGCAGCCGAGCCATGAGCTTTTATATCCGCAAAATTGGCAGTAAGTTCGGTGCCGAATTTCGAAAGGATGCTCTCGTCTGTGAGGGTAAGATCCGGCATGCTGATACTTGATTCATTGCTGGGTGTGATGTAGAACATTGGTTGTGTCATGAAGCCCGAATCTATAGTGCGCGCATTGTGTACACGGCTGATCTTTAAATTGGGCGCTGAAACTATACATTTCGCTATTAGTGATTTCTAGAAGCTCGAAAAATGAGGAATATAACTTACATTCGGTAGAAACGAGAGCTTCCTGTATCATATCGGGCAATTGAGCGAATACTCGCTCGTTGTGCGAAGTGACATCGATGATCGACGGCGCTTTATTGCGACTGGTGACTAGGATTTCTTCCTCGTTGCTGATACTCATATTTGCGATTTTCGAATTCGATTACTGGTGATATGGTCCTGCGACAAGAGGGATACTCTATGTGCATGACGAGAATAATATATACCTCATTACACCTCATTCTTCGCGAGCTATCCTCTCTATATATCCCTGAGCTTACCTACGTACATACATCACACACCATTCATTCCTCGCGTAACTTTAACGATCGTGCGAATTTCCAAATCGCATCCTTCAATTAGGTTAATATTGCACTCATCTCGTATCAATTCCTGGTCATCCTCTCCACTACCACCCCATCAGCTCGTGTATTTCTAAAAATAGCAACACTTTATAAGGTTACCTAACACTAAACACGCTGTACAAAACCCCCCCGAGATACGAGAAACATCACCACAACGACAGTCACATTTCGATATTTGCTACGTGTGCAATTGGCATGAATATGAAACGGACCAAGGAACTCGTAAGGCGCGTTTCAATCCTTTTTCTGAATGGAATCTGCGGTGTGATGGATGCGGTACATGAGAAAATTGAAAGATAAGATATGGGGGCGGAAAATAATATTGGGTCTTGGATTTATGGTTATTAGAACACTCGGGGGCAGCCGCAGCTAGCACTGCCTCTTGCCGATGACCCGAGTGCTTGATTTGTTTTGATACGCAGATGTCATTCTGGCAGGAAGGTATATCGGGGAGTGCAAGGCATCAATGGAAATTTGAGGTCGAATTGTAAGATTACAACTGCCAATTGAGAAGGGTGGCAGGGGAGTAATATTCTACAATTTGTTTTTTGGACGGCGAACTGTGGCACAATAATTTCGGCTAGAGATGAAAATGAAGGGGTTTTGACGTAAACACCGTTTTGCGTGAAAAGAAGGAAGAAGAGGAAGCACGAGATATTCACGTGATGACAGACATATTTGGAATTTGTGCAGACACACTGGGCACCAAGCCTCATATCTCCAAATTTATGTCCTGTGTGGTTCATTCCGAAAAGGAAGATCTAATGCTGGCGGATTAAGATTTCACTCAAAAAAGATAGGATGGCGGCTGAGTTAACGATCTTAGCGAACTTATATCGAAAAGGAAGAAGCAAAGGAAGGACGAGTTTTGCTAAGCCTTGATATATGGCATCGAATAAAAATGATATTGAAAGCGATTGACATTGATTAAAAATTAAGACATATACTGCTATGGTATCAATCCAAGGTCAAATACTTTTGAGCTTTTAAACGCCGCATACCATGCTCCCACAACACCAATCCATGCTAATGGCGAAGGCCAGACTTTCTGCAAAACTTTTCCCGAAAGCACATCAAACTTTTCGTCTAACCAAGAGGCATCTTCTTCCATCTCTCTTTACCGTCCATCCCACACTCGCGCAAATCTCCTTCAACGTCCCTTCTCTATCCATTAATCTATCATTCACAGCAATCACATTCAGTGCCACTGATTGCTTGCCGAGCAAGATTGAAGATCGGATCTTGCTTTGTTCTGCCAATGTCATTCCTCTAATATCAAGATACCTTAAGCTGTGTTTGGCACCGGTGAAAGTAGGTAATGGGGTGCTGGAAATCCTTCGTCGTAACTTGGTGATGGCTATCGCACGTTCCATTGGCTCGAGGACAGTGGTATACTTTGAGTCGATCTCTAATGAATCGATTCCCTCTTCTTCGTTTCGTGATTCATTATCTTCAGTATCTAGAAATATAGATTCGAGATCGCGCATGCGGAGGCCGGTGCCTATGCTTAACTCTTCTACTGTTTGATTCAACGCCTTTAACTGAGCAACACATGCTGAGTCCATCTTCCATCCTCTTAGCTTGAGAGTTTTGATTGTCCTTGGTGCATATTTCAGTAGACGTTCTGTATCCTTTTCGTTTATCTCTTCACCAACCGTAAGGTCAGCAGAGGCATCGAGGTATTCCAATGTATCCTTTACCGACGGATGTGAGGTGATGAAGTCAATCAAGGAGACATCTTCAAGGAAGGGGCAATGATTGAGAGCTAAATGTGATATTTTAGCCGTAGGAGGAAGAAGTTGTAAAGCCTCTGTCGTGATATGAGTGTGTGATAACGTCATCGACTGTATCGAGCCAAGCCGTGAAAATAGGGAATCGAAGGATGAAGCTGGTAGAGCTTTACAATTCTCCAAGGATAATGATTTGATCGGAAGTGAAACAGATGCTGGCATGCTATCAAGTATGCTAGGTATGCAATCCAGTGTTGATGATGTGCAATTACCTAAGTCTAACGTCTTCAAATGAGGTAACCCAACAAAAAGTAGTCGAAGTAAGGACTCGCTTAAGAAACCATTTAGGTTGGTATCCTTCGGGATTCGGAATTCTCGAAGGTGTGGAGCGAGTGAAACTATCCCGTAAAGGTAATTGGAAAACTCTCTCATTGGGCGTGTAGTTTTCAGCTCGGAGAAATCAAGACGTCGAATGGTTCTACCCAAGATGGGATTTTCGGTAAGTTGAGCAAGTATATGGTTAAAGGCGGACATGTGAGTGACTGTAACACTTCGATATGTAATGAAAAGCGCATTCATGTAAATGGCTCTTGATACACGAAGACATGAAAATAAAGTAGGTCTCTCCAGGTGGGGGCAATTGATGTCACCGGAATCTATAAAATATCAATATCATGTCAATTGAATTTCATTGCAGATATTGAGTGAGGTCTTACCGTTGCTTGAACCTCCTTCTCTGTGATTATATTTTAATTCTAGATTTCCAAGTATCTTTTGAAGAAGCTCAGGTGGAAGTAACTCTAATGGGGATTTTCCAGCTTCATATGCTTTCCTCCTGTTCGAGTTGTTTTGTAGTGAAAAGCGAGACATTGTGTTCTAGTGAAGTTCTGAAGTGTTGGAATGTTTGAGATGCTAGGTTATGTGTTTGAAGTTTTTATATCTTGAAATTCGTATCGTCAACAACACGCCGAGGTCCAGATACTCCAATGACGATTTTGTATGGTTTGTAAAAGTGTTTCTTTGACTTTCTCGCTACTCTGAAATCCATCTTTTTGTTGTGAGGCTATCGTGAGACTCTTATACCTTCTCAACCGTTGGTAAGGAAACATCTAGCCCGCCCAAGTCAGACAACATCTTACTCAATGCATGAAGAACTTGCATACCAAACACTGGGGAAATTGCGAAATTACCTCCCATGACTCTCTTTCCATCGTCAGAGCTCAAAGCACAGCTCAAGAAGTTATCCAATACTTTTCACCGCCAACACGTATTCGTTTCATTGTTACGTAAATGTATATCAACAAAGAGGAAAAACGTATTAAGACGACATCATGAGGCAATAAGAAATTAATAATTGGTTCGTTTTTCCTTGGAAGCCAAAGAAATCACGAGTTAAAGCGATTGGTGATTTCCCCAGAAAAGGTTAAAAAGAGAAAGCACGATTTATAAAAAGGCGGGGTTAGCGTCTTGGCATCCCGCACCTAGAATGAGGAATGTTTCCAATTCACGTGATTTTGTTCCATTAACAAAGACTTCCGAGACCCCTTGAGCCCTTCTCGCCCTTTAGACTACCTGGGCATTATAAATTGATACCAAAAATACACCTTTTTTGTTACCAAATCCCGTACTATTTGGGATGAGACTAAAACTACCTGGATGGCTTGGATAACATCACACCCCCAGACGGAACGTTTCCTTTCCTTGTTGTTGATCATCTTCCTTGCCCCTTTTTTTCTTGACAGAATTTTCAAATCCCGCATTGAGTCATTTTTATATGTATTTCGTCACTCCGTACACATCGATATCAGAGCGAGAGTTATCATGAGTTATTTACTCTACAGTGCCCACAGACAATGTCTTCCAGTCATCCCTCGTTTCCACTGCATGGTGATAGGAAAATAGCTTGATGATAAAATGGTGCTCTCGCCCTCGAGCTCAAATTCCGATTAGATGACACTATATCAGCCCTCATATCCAAAAGCCGGGGCCGAGTTAGCATGTATCATGTAGGTACGTACCTTGCATCAACAACGAAACCGTGCTTCCCTCACCGACCCTGAAACCTTGTTCTCCGTTTACCACCGGCTCAAATGAGAAATTACTAATATATCCACTAACGAAGCCATGGATCTTGCACCTGATCCAACTACCTTACTAGTACCAACAACGTGGACAACTTAGATGGTTGCAGGCTCACCTGGATCTCACAATTCTACACTTTTCTTGCTCATACATGCTTTTTTACAGTCAATTGCTGAAATCACACACCATCAGACGTTCAAAGTCGACATAAGTTGTCTCAACAATTTGAAGCAACTCATGCATTAGTAGTCTACCTGTCAGTTTCATTCATGCCATGGGGTAGCGACGAGGATTAGATTTATTCACAAGTTTATCGAGTAAAGTTGCTTTAATAAATAATATAGATTATAGTTACGAGGTTTACCACTGTCAGCTTCTGCGCTTTACAAAGTCTCATATGTCTCCTTCATACTCTTTGAAATCCATCACAACAATACTAATTTGTCCCGTCAATGAACAAGAACAACCCAAGATTGCAATAATATCAGAATACTAATGCAGTCTGCTGCGATACAAATAATTTAACTTTCGCTTTCTTTTCAAGCTCCAGTGTTTGATGTGGAGTACGTACTTGGACACCGGGAAAGACGCAACCACTGTTCAACTTGACACGACCGGCAAAGTACGGAAATTCTCAGAAAATCATCATCTTGGAAAGCGGTTCCATAATTCCCTCCAGGGCTTGCAATGACCTAGCATACAAAGATGCGAACACGTCATTTTCATGATTCAGGTCTCTCAAAATCTCAGACTCCTCTTCTTGCAATCGACTGGCCTCCAGCCAACCCATCGGTGTCTTTTGTAGACATCTATTGGCTTGGAGCCTATCCTCGAAAACCCCTTTCATTTCAACGGTAACTTGATCACGCAAAAGACTGCCCATATGATGGAGTATTTGATGCATTTCGTCCAGTGACTCAGCACGTGCTTCATCTTTGATCATATTGGTTATTTCTATGGCGTCAGCTACCATCTGGTCGACATACAAGACAGGTGGCTTCTTTCGGTGAACGAAAGTGTGACGGATCTCTTTATAGTTTCCCAGTAATTCATGATATCGAGGAATATCCTTAGGGTTCTCGAAAGCTTCAACAGGGATAGCAGGTGCCGCTAACCGTTTTTCCCAAAAGCTGAGCTCTACTTCTCGACCCGACTCCACGTTCTTATCGTCAAAGAATTTTGGTGCCCAGTGCTTTGTAAAATCGAACAATGCGGCCTCGAGAGTTCCGCAAACTTTGTACAAAATGGGCTGCTGGAGGTCAAAAGGTAGTTGACGAGGATTGTTTATGCTAAGTTCTTCGCATGAGCCAAACTCCAACGAAGGACCGCCACGCGCTAAAGCTTGAGCGCGATCTCTCGGATCTAAGGCGCTTGTACGAGAAACAGGCGCATGGAAGATTGTTGTACCTGGAGTCTCAGGTGGTGTGTGGTCTCTTCTTTCTCCAAGATTGCTTCGCGATGCTTGGGCTTGGGCTTCAGCTCGTTGTTCTCGTCGTTTCTTCCTGATGGTTAGAGTTGAGAAAGGATCCGAGGAGCTCCTACTAGACGGCTCCGAAGACGAAGGCGCCATATCTTGGAATGCCAGTGTTGATACTTCTCTCTTACTGGATGGTCTTGAAGATGTTCCGTGGAAAGTAAACCGACGAAATTCGAGTAGTTTGTTAACGACTAGTTTACGAGTTCCAATAAGGTTTGTCATATCAATAGTAAGTATTGTTACGATTGTGAATCACCAGATAACTAAATACCCAAAGGCGCAACCGTAAGAACTTCAACGTTTTTTTGTGGCGGCCCAAAATATGTCGCTGCTGCCGTGGTACTGTTGGACTGTACTTATTAGAACTGTAATACCTGAACCGTATGTTCCTCTATTACCTAATCGGACAGCATTCAACGGTATCTTTCGAGCAGAGGAACACAGTGGATGAGTCAACCTAGTTTCCTAACGCTGCCAAAATGAAGATTGAATCACAGCTGATCAGTGAAGGGGAAGATGTCATTATCTTAACACTTTTATGCTACAAAGGAACAAACCATACTTTCCAACGAATGAGCACAAAGATCGAATTCCATGGATTTAGTTTCGTTCGTCAAGTCAAACAAAGTCTGCTGCATGATAAGAAGATTCATTGACAGGTGGGTTGAGATTCCTTATAAGCAAAAGCCTGGTTTACAGCTCCCGATTTGCCTGGATGTCCTTGAAAAAGAGGGCTGTAGTAGCAGGAGTGGCTACACCATAGTTCTTGAAGTCGAAGCACATAGCAACGAATAATCCCTAGATCATCACCATGGAGATCTTTGCAGATTCATCGGCAAAAACGCTTGGAAGCAAATCTCGCCTGACCACAAAGAATCAGATTTCGAGCATTAGCATTTTTTTAAAGGATGGATTGGTCGATAAACTACACGTTTCTCTGCGGGGAGAAGATGGAGAACGGAGATGAACAACTACATTTTAAACATCAGGAATAGTCTCATTCCGCCTCAAAGAACATAAATAGGAAATAAGATTTATAAAGCCTTTATTTCCGTATATTTTTCCTGTAATATAGAAAGAAACCAGCTAGACGGTTTAATTCAAACATGCCCTCGTATACGTTATCAAGAATCATAGCACATCCACTATGCTCCAAAATCCACCGTTACCGCCCCCGAATCTTCAACTGGTACTGTGATTCTCCCGTCCACAACCTTGACCGTATGTCCAGCCGTCACGTTGTGCAATCGTACAGGTTTTCCGTTATCGAGTTCATAATTGTAAGAGTACCCATCGTACGTGATACCGGTTATTGCATCACTACCGTTTGCGTGAAGGGCTCTCAATGTCGCTACCTTCGGCAGCGCAGCTGGTGCAGAGTGACCCGAGGATCCGGCTGTAGTGTTGGTTGGGATTGTGATCGTGTAATTTCTGATTGGACGCGGAACGGGATTCAAAACTGTAGAGGTTCCATTTACGGTATAGTTGTATTGATGCATATTGATAATTATGATGCGCTTGAGGGCACCATTGACATATGCAGCGTAAGCCGATTCCAACGCGTTTGAGAGTGGGATTTCGGCTATGGTTGTGGTGGCTGCGGTAAGATTGGAGAGAAAGGCTGCAGCAGCGATGTTACCGTAGTATGGTGGCTTGGTGCCCTTTGGGACAACATCCGTGTCCTGGGGTTGCCAAGCCTGGTAACGGTATGAGAGTCCCGCGTGGAAACTGGATGAAGAGTTAATATGAGATTCGTGAAAATTGATCATCAGGAAGTACATACTGAATGCGACGAATACTCTTACTTGCACCGTATAAAGCGAAGTCCAAGTTCCACTAAATAGAAGTTAATATGACGAGATGAAGATCGATCACAGAAAGGACGTACTAGAGCAGCACCATATGCATTTGACAACCCTGGCGCACCTTCGTTGTAAAGAGAATTAGTCTCTCCGAGAATGAAGGGTATGCCGGACGAAGCAAGAATATTGGATACATTCAGCTGTCGGGCCACAGACACTACAGTTGATGTGTGATTCATAAGGGTTCCTTGGAGTGTTACACCTGGTTGCGTCGCACCACCAATATAACTTTGATTGATCTGTTAGTATTCGAAATGTAATATCGTGAATGGAACCATACTTGTGTGATGATATCAATTCAATGTCTTTGTCCACGTCTAATCCATCGTTCCATGCGGTAACGGGATCGAGATGATTTTCAACACCAGCAAAAGAGGGTGCTAAGAATCCATAGGAAGCCAAATCAGGACATGCTGCCGCCACGCCGTCCTTGATCTGTCGACTGCCATTCAACCATTGGCTTACGTATGTTGTTTCATTCCAAGTAGGAGGTCGAACTGGCCCTTGTGCAGAGGTGGAATATAAATCTGGTTCATTTCCATATTCCCACATGAGAAGCTTCCCGCCCTCTAAAGCTTTGCATGCCAAGGGGACTGTGTCTAGCAGAGTTTGCCATCCTGCAGAATTATTTGCACCTAGACCCAAATTGAATCCGTGACTAAATTTGACATCCGACCAAGTACTGTAAGACTCAAAAAAGGATGGACCGAAATAAACCGTGGTTGGATAGTCTGTAGACTTTGCTGGATCGATTGTACCATTCACAGCATATGGAAGACTTGCATTGTAAAGAGCATAATCCTGAGTGTTTCCACCAACTCGAATATGCGGTTTAGTACCTTGAAAATTTCCAAGATTGTTGAGCAAATTTTCTGAAAAGGTATTGGGACTCGAGTTGTTTCCTGAACATGTAAGCATATGAGTCCAGCAATGTGTCCCTGAGCCTCTAACATACCAGCGTAATCCGGAAAGAAACAAAACTCGATAGAGTAGCTTATGAAGGCCGGAAGTGGGGTACCGGCGTTTGCTGGGGCGGTCCTTGCAACAGTGAAGCTACTTTGAGCATGAATTGCTTGCACAAAGCTTAGAAGGATGACTCCAGTGATGCGGGCGGCCATTTTGCAAGTGCTAGATATCTAGTGATTTTCTATCTCCAAAACATGGATTGGTAAAAGAGAACAACTAATAGTGCATTCGATGAAGAGAGGAATGGCAAGAGAGGACGTCAACGAGGTTTAAGTAATCAATTCACAGTCTGTACATTGCAGATCTCTGGTTCTTTCCCAATACCTCATTGCTACGGATAGCAAGTGCATATCCTACGTTGTATTCGCAGTATATCATACCGGAAACCGAAGTACCTTTAATGAAAGAAGCTGGGTACATTACTACTTGCATGTCGATTGAACTGAGTTTGACGTTGACGTTGACCTTCTTGGTTGCCCAAGAATTGCCGACGCGGGGAAGTCGGGGAAAGAGTGTACGCAAACAAGGTCTAGGGGTGCTGGCTGACGTGCTTCGTACATAGCATGATGCATACTACGTATATACATAGTAAGGGTACCGAGGTAGTATTCTCGGCGTAGAGTCCATGTCATTCACAGTTACTCCCTCCCTCTCTTTCCACCAATACTAATGAATAAGAAGGAAATCGTAGACCTACAATTAGCAGTTGGATGGATGAACTGATATATCTAGCCCTAGCCCTCCTTTAGATCTTGAAAAAGACTGATATCTTTTCAAACGATATCCGATCATATCTTTGTGCGTGTCATTATATAATTCCGAATATAATCACATCGGTACTGCATGATACAATTATGTAAAAATGTGTTCTTCCCTTTTCATACCTTTGTCTCTCGCCTGTTTTGACTTGTTTTGATGACTGTGTACAACTTTCCCAATTACAAATATTGAATGTGCTATCACCTAAATTAGGCTTAGTGACAGCCCCGCGGCGAAGCTTATCAAAGTTTCACTCACCTCACGATAAATCCGATAAACGAACGCCCTATCGTGAGCTCCATGATTCCATTAAGCTCTCCGTAACTCCAGTTACTCAAATTGTTGCAATTCCAGTACATTTTCAATCGGGTCTAATAAAGATCTTCTTTCTATTCCCCTAAACCAATATTTGTCTCTCCTACGCCTCAATTGTCAGCAACAGCCAACTGTCATTCCATGGTGACGTTAGTGCTCGAATCTGGAATTGTTAGAATAAAAGCCCCCAGCTTGGCACCCCCTCTCTCAACATGAACAACATAATAAGATCAACAGCAAGAATACTACCTCGTTCACGTTTTCAACCGTCGACTTTACCATTAATAAACTTACGAAAGGCTTCCAACATGTCGCACACAGTCCCAAAACTTAATGATCCATCGCTCTTCAAAACCGGAGTTGCGTACGTCAATGGAGAATGGGTCAAGGCAGCTTCCGGAAAGACATTTGACGTTCATGGTATGTTTTGCAGATTCATTAAGAGCTGATGCTGAGCAAAGATGCTAATCTATTCGCTCTGCAGATCCATCGACTGGAAAATTGATCGGAAATGCCCCAGAGTTCGATGTAGCTGATACGAAGAAGGCAATCGATGCCGCCGCCGCAGCATTCCCCTCATTCAAAACTACAACCGGAAGAGAACGAGCTAAGCTATTACGAAAGTGGTACGATTTGATGGTATGCTAGAAGAATAAAACATGAAAAACAACACACAGGATGATCTCTGATTAATGTTATACAGATTGAAAACAGTGAGGATCTTGCTAGGCTCATAACATGGGAGAATGGAAAGCCATTGGCGGATGCAAAAGGAGAGACAACATATGCAGCCAACTTCTTGGAATGGTTCAGTGAAGAGGCTCCCAGAAACTATGGAGACGTTATTCCATCGTCGACTCCTGGAAATCGAGTTATTACCTTGAAGGAGCCTGTTGGTGTCGTTGGACTTATCACCCCGTAGGTTTATCCTGCACTACAATGATTGCACAATTCTAATTTTGTCTAGATGGAATTTCCCAGCTGCTATGATAACGAGAAAAATCGCCCCTGCACTGGCAGCTGGTTGCACAGTTGTTGCAAAGTCTCCTGGGGAGACACCTTTCACCTCTCTCGCTCTCGCCGAACTTGCACACCGGGCTGGAATCCCCAAGGGTGTTGTAAACTTTGTCAGCTCTCTCGATAATACACCTGCTGTTGGCGAGCTTCTCACTACTTCCCCAATCATCAAAAAAGTCTCTTTCACTGGATCTACTGGTGTGGGTAAGATTTTGATGAAGCAATCATCTTCGACACTGAAGAAGTTGTCTTTTGAGCTTGGTGGAAATGCTCCATTCATTGTATTTGATGATGCAGACCTCGATCTTGCAGTAACTGGTGCTATTGCATGCAAATTCCGTTCCTCTGGACAAACTTGCGTTTGTGCCAACAGAATTTTTGTGCAATCTGGAATCTATGACGCCTTCGCCGAGAAGTTTGCAGCAAAGGTCAAGGACTTCAAGGTTGGAGGTGGTTTCTCTGATGGAATTACACATGGACCTGTTATTCACGGCCGTGCGGTTGACAAGGTTGAAGCTCATGTTCGAGATGCAGAGAAGAAAGGAGGAAAAGTTATTCAAGGTGGACAGAAGATCCCTGAGCTTGGAGCAAACTTTTTCCAGCCCACTGTCATCACTGGCGTTACTACAGATATGGACATCGCAAACGAGGAAACTTTCGGTCCTGTCGCAGGTCTTCTTAAATTCGATACTGAAGAGGAAGTCGTACGAATTGCAAATTCTGCCGATGTCGGCTTGGCAGGATATTTCTTCACTAAAGACGTTGAGAGAGCCACTAGGATCTCAGAAGAGTTAGAGCTCGGAATGGTTGGTGTCAACACTGGATTGATCAGTGATGTAGCATCACCATTTGGTGGTGTTAAGGAGTCAGGATTCGGACGTGAAGGAAGTAAATATGGAATCGCAGAATATCAAACCATTAAGGTGGTCACATACGGAGGCATGGGCAAGCCATTGCAAAATTAGAGAATCAAAGCAACTTGGAATAGGAAAATAGCAATGATACCACATGTTTTAACATTGACACTACCGGGGACCACGCCGGACACTCAATGCTGATTGTGAGCTATTGTAATATGCTCCAGGTGTTTGATGTTGCTAACAGGATCAGAACGGATATTCACCTTCTCTTATCGTCTCTCAGTGTATACCTACTTAATCAACTGAATTGATCCATCAAGCGAAAGTGAATATAAATCGCGCGCGTTACCACAAATACAACAAACAGAAACTTTCATTTCAAAGAAAACAACAACAAAAAACTTTCAAAGCTTGAGATATAGTCTCCGTCTTCGAAATGACTGCACTAGGCGGGCTCACTTATGATATTAGGGACCCTTCGACTCACAAGATTGCATGCTACTTTGAGCTAGATATTTATGATCTTCTTTGTACTATGGCACACAAGCCAGATTTTGTAGATGAGGATGCCATCATGTTAGACAAGCAAAAGGCTCTTCCCCGGGACACAAAAGTTCAGGATTATTATTTCCGAAACCTCGAGTTGATTCCTGGCTTTCCATTTCGGGAGTTCCAAGGTGCTTCCGCATTTAAAGACAATGCAGATACTCCTAATACATTGCATCACAATGTTACCAAGAGGTAAGTTGAACAGCACGTTGAAGCTGACTTTTGGTAGGTTTCTCGATTTCATAAAGCGTGCACCACCGGAGATCCGTACAAATGTTTTTGCGCAAATACCAACCAAAAGAGTTGCGGAAGATGATGATTAGACTCATTTGCATATGCCAAAAAAAGTGCCTATCTCATGCAAGATTACTCTACTCTCTATGATTCTCTCCAATTCTGCCCTGTCAAGTACTCCATTCAGGTCACCAGCAAAGGAACTTTCAACGAGGATGAATGTCTTGAAACCCGAGATGCGCAGATAAACATTCCGCCAAATAACGAGTGTTTCGAAAGAAATTTTGCGGTGCACACGGACATAACTTGCAGCAAAGACAAGGAAAAGATAATGGGCATCGTTTATATCGAGAATGACTATCCAAATTGCTTTGCTCGGTCTTATGTCGATTTCATCAAATTTGCTGCCTCACTCGCGCATTTGGAAGGCTTCTACTTCGAGAAGGATTCAAGCGACAGCAATGCTGGAATTTGGAAGAGCGAGATCAAGGAATCAAGCCTGTTGCGGGAATTCTTGACATGGTTCTGGAAGAAGTTTGGATTAAACTTCACCAATGAACTTGAGGTATACCTACATGATTCTCTCATGACAAAGAACTCCAGGCTAGTTTCGCATGGTCAAAAGTTAACCATGCAAAATTTCGTTACCTTCAAAACATCTCTCTCGACATCCTCGTTATGGAGCCGCTCATCCACACCCGAAAATATATCAACGGCCGTCGCGTAAAGCTTTTCCTCCAGGAACTGCACAATTTCCCTAACATCGAGTCGCTCACCGTGTTCCTACAAATAGGAGATACAGATTTGGCGTATTTAATGCACAGTCCCGGTGCTTCTAGGTGGGCGAATGCGTTGAGAGGAACCACTTTTACGAAATATTTTGATGTGCAGTTTCAGATGTTGGATGGGATGTTGCCGAAAGGACCGATTTGCCATGCTGTGTATCGGAAGAGATTGAGACAGTTTTTGATGCCGGAGTGCTTGTGCTATGGAACTACGGGTGATGTACCGAATCACTTGGGGATTCGCGAAATGTTTGCTATGGAGGAAGCGTAGCTAGTAGGTGGAATGTTGGGGTTTGGTCAAGGACGCTTCTTGCATTTGGGTATCAGAATCAAGATATTAGGATCTATCAATTATTAGATGATCTTTTTCCAACGATATAGGTGAGTTATCACCTGCAATGAACGGCACTACACAAGCCCGTGGTCTATATGCAATTCATGAAACCGGTGATATGGGCAATAAGTTAAGAAATTCCATATCCTCGAGTGCGCAGAGAAAGCAGATGCTCTGAACTCTCTTCTGGGAAGGATAGGTCTAAGCGGCTTCTTGATTGCCAGACATATTACACATCTCGAATGAAAGGTACAAGGATATATACCCCAGATGGCATCAGCAAATGCCTCGTTGATGTGATACTCGACTCTTTTTCATTCACTAATTGCATATATTTCGGATTTGTGAGCATATTGTTGTTATGGAATAATTGAGAGTACTAATTATTCTTATGTTTTCCTTTTTAGTATACCGTGATTCCTCTTTTCCATTCCACTACCTCTTCTTTCTCATTTTTAGAAGATCAACGTACTTCTGATGATGCATTCTTAATTGGTTCGTATCCTAAAACCCAAGTTTCTTATATCATTCAAACAATGAACAATCCCATTTTCAAATGTCAGGATCTTGAAACAATTCCTGGAGCCCCAACTCTTCGGGCAAGTCATTTGTGTTTCCCTTCAACAATGAATTTGGCATCAGGAGACGACGAATACAATCCTGCACTGCCAACTGACGATTATGCAAAAGAGAAGGCGTATCTGTCTTATTACTCTCATAATAATAATCTTTAGGATCATGATTCTTATAGAGATCCTCATCCCAATCGCTATCAGACTCTCCATCACCATCACTGCTCTCTTCATTAGCATTGACATAGACATCAAACATCACCTCAATAGAATTCGAAAGTTTGACATCTTGAAAGTGTCTGATCAAGCGTCTTGACCATCCAGTTCTCATTGGATCACAGCGAGGCTCTGCAGTACCTTCCGTGTGGTGGTTTCTATTGAGATATGTGATATTCCGAAGATTGGGAAACCATGAGTGGTCTCCACAGTATTCCTTCCCGCAGATATCTCCTTTGCAGCCTTTTGCGCCACAGCGCTTTTCTGACAAACTTGCAATGAATTGACGCATGTTCAGGTGCATAGCTCCGCTTTTGAGATTAATTGTTTTGGTGGAAAATCGCAGAGTAAGATGCTCTAATCTGTGATATCGTAGAAGGTTATTAATTGAAAAGTACTATGAATATCGTTAGCAAGTTCTAGCCCTATCTGATAGTTGAGGGACTTCAGATTGTCTAGACTTTAGCCCAACGATTATAAGCTTTCGTCTTCTGAATTCCATTGAACAGCCCGAGTCGTTTATACTGATGCTACTTTGGAACTTTTGGGATTATTACCTTTGGATACATATTCCAATTACACGTGTTTATGTATAGACCAAAGTGGCTCCAAAACCACCCCAAAAATTGCTTTAGAAGACTACGTTTTCTCCCAATAGGAGACCACCAAATGCAGCTATCGTAACCGATTTGAAATTCCTCGTGGAGCGCCAAAGAGTATGCGAATTGGACCAGTTGGCTGTAAGTACTCTTCGATGGATTTCCACAAACACTCCTCTCCAGAATTCGTTGTGTGCTTCTATGATCTCTCCAGTCTTTAGTATTTTGGATTTTCCAGGCCTGTGTGTCAAGTCCTGTGGTGGGTGCATAGACTGCTTGTGTTTCCTCTCGGAACATAAGAGCAGTGATTGGCATTGGATATGGTGTTATTGGTCCACCTCCTCCTTCATCATCGCTATGGGGATGACCATGGAGTCGTCTGGATAATAAAACTGGATCTGGAATAAAGATACTTCCTTCGATATCGTTTTTTGCGGTTTGACCAATCGAAGGTTCCTCAATAATACGTGAAAAAACCATTGCAACAATCTCTGGAAACATCGTTCTGAGTCTATAGAGGAAGCTTCTCACTGTCAGTTGAAATTCTAGTCGGGTTTAGAGGCGCTCACAATGCAGGTAGGTGCTTATCCTGTTCGAATCTTCCATTTGGTAAAGGATATCCTAGGATATTTAGATGATAGGCACGGTATGGGAAATGAGGAATTAATTCTCGACCGTAAAAGAGATAGTCTTCATGGTTTCTATTGTAAAGTGGGTTAGAAATGTCTGCGTCTGATTCTGCCATGTTAGCATCTGTTGAGGGATAGTTGACGCTCGATGAATTCTCTATTGTTTATTGAATGTTTATCTTAAGCAGTACGAGACCTCTGTTGAAGGATCAAAATATAATTATGACTGTCAAGGAGAACAACAACAAGTGCATCATTAGAGGTCAGGAATGTAGGAGTTGGTATTGAGGAACTGTACCAATGACTGCAGTGCTAAATAGGGCAGACTCGTTACTGCTGTTTCGGTCGAATCATTGTTTAAACTCCCACGTCTCCGGAATTCTAAAGAAGAAGCAACTACCACGATACAGAATTATGAAGTCGGAATCAGAAGGCACTGAACCCCAGAGTGAATGAGCAGTCTGCTATCAACTTGTACTAATATAGAGTCCTCAAAATGCTGTTCTTCGTAACAGGACTAAAATCTTATCATCAACAACAGGATTCAACCAAGGGCGATTAAGCGAGTTCACTGAAGGGGCGAATTTTCATTTCTGGTGAGTGCATCCTTAGTCTAACGATCCTCAATACAAATTTTAACATATCACGAGATGAAATCCTTCTGATTTGAAAGACTTTTACAATCAATTGATCAAGTTACCTTATAACATATAAAGGAATACTCGATTTGATAGCTCAATGCATCAGTCAAAGATATTGACTGTAATCGTCGCTTTCTCGAATTCATGAGCATAATTAGTAGACTGTCGACATGTATATCTTGATTGAAAATCCTAGCATGTAAAAGAGACAAAAATGCTCGTCACTTTGTAACCTCCACAGAAATTGGCATCAGCGAGTTGATGAGTCTAATAATTACTGATTCCAAAATAACATGAACGCCTGACTCCACTCCGTATTAACCTTTCATGAGCTCCTCGTCCTTTCTTCTCAGGGGCAGAGAAATAGCTGTAAATCATAACGCCTATTATTTGCCCTTTCTTTCGCTCTTTGGCTTGTAGTCTCCTTTCCACATTGTAGCATCCCGCGGCAGGGGCCTATTCCAATCCGCAAGTCGCTTCTTCTCTGCAATTTCATCTTCTTTCCTTTTTTTTTCAGCTTGTTCCTTTTTCTTCTCCGCTTCCTCTGCTTGTTCCTTCTTCTCCTTGTCATAATTGTTCTTATACTCTTTAATTCTGGTATTTTCTTTGTTTATATAATCGTTGAGGGAGTCGATGGAGAGTTTCATATCATCCACGGCTCTAGAAGCAGCTGTGACACCTTTACCCGCTTTTTTTGCGTTCTCAAGCTCTTTCTTTAGGTTCACTTGACTTTCTTTGAGTTCATCTAATTCTTCTTTATATGAAGACTTAATAGCATAAGCATCTAGGATACTAATAGACCAACGGTTTCCTCGAAATTTCAACTTTTCTTCCTCATAGACAAAGTTTATGAAGGTTTTAGTTATCTCCATTGCCTAAAATGTACTTAGTAGGATAACTACCGTGGAAGTTGTATAAGTAATATCTTACAGTTTTTTCCCTTTTTTCTCCTGTGCCTTTGTTTAATTCCATCACTTTTTTGGCTACGCTTTGGAATCGCTTTAGTTTATAGTCATAGAATGTTCCTAACTCTCTCCGTTTCGCATTGCGTGGTATATCTCTGTACGGAATCTTTTTCATTGTCTTATCTTTCTGGAAAGCTATTGCTTCATTATCTGAAAGTGTGAAGATAACAAAAAGGTCATCCTTCAGATCACACCAATAAGCTGTATATTTGGAATCTTCTTTCTTCGGCCTGGACATAATGGATTGATACTGCGGTGATGATTTAACAATGATATGGATGAGTTTATTATGGTCAAGAGCACTTCGAAACGATGATAAATATATAGAATATTGAATTATACATTTGATACTAGATTACACTAGAATTCTCGTGGGCTTTATAGGATATCGAGTCAAAGGTAAAACTCAGATGCAGCAAGATACCACTAATAGTCCCGAATGCTTCACCTTCCAGTAACCTTATCAATCCTGCGACCTATCGAGGCCTGTCTGGATCATTTGGACAATACACTAAAAATAGATGTCTATCTGAGCTAAAAATGTATTTTGCATTTACAGTAATATGCTTATACTATTGTGCATAACTAATGTAGGAACAAGGATTGAATGAATGGCCTTAAGTCATTCATAGCCTTCAACAAAGGAGCTAGTCTCATAGCAAGGCCTACTCAAGGCTTGATTCTTCCTGTAATTAGCTAGCTCTTTAGACGGAGTACACATTGACAACCGGAGCCTTCATTTTGGGTTCTACGTCATCCGTATTCTTCTCAAACCAACAACTAGTTTCCAAAACGTGACTTTTCCATAGTTTATCAAAAGAATCAAATTTTAAAATTTCAATAATTCAATCTATTCCAATTTTTTGTATCTAATCTAAACTTACCTTTAACAAATAACAGTACTTTTTTGATATCAAATGGAAGTCTGTTTTTAGTGTATTGTTCAGCTGATTCAAACAGGCCTCGACAGACCTCGAGAAGAAGCAGAATATCAAAATTTTATATCTTAATCAAAATCTAATATTAAATTCATAAAACAATTTTCCTTTAGAAATATCTCTAATAACAATAATTGATCAAACAGTAATTCATTATTTTAACTTTCAAAAGAATGCAAATAACAAAAGAATTTATTTTGAATACTCACTGAAAAAGATTATTTCTAGATCTTCTCTTAATTTCGTGGGTTTAGTATCCGGCTTTTCCTCGAGGTCGCGAGCCAATTAACGTAAACATAAAGCTATTCTTAGATTCTTATGGCGAGCCCTCCCGGGCTATCAGGAGTTGGTTGGGTTTGTATAGTGACCGCTCTGGCAGGAGATCCTCATCGGACTTCGAGTTGACCCATTCGAGTACATCCAAGCAACAACAGTTAACACCAAGGCCATTTCTCATTATCCCTTGAAAATCAAATCTTATAGAGAAACCGTAATTTGCCAATTATCTTTACATGCGATTTATAAAATATTTGAAAAGATTATCTCAGAACTTACCATAGACAACCAGCTCCGGGGTGTGGTATACCCCGCTTTCGCCTATAGGGCCTATAAACCCCTAACAGCCGAAACCCAACATAGTACATAAAACAAAATAGGCACAACACATAAACACATAAACAAATGTCATTATTTCTCAAGCAGTCATTATAACCGGGACTAATGCTATATCAAATTGCTTCAATCTAACTACCTTGCATACAAATCTCACGCGGTCTGCGTAGTGCGTCTAAGACTTCCAAGAGACACGAGACGAGACAGCTTTACCTGTGTCTTTTACTTTCCTTTCCAGCAGTATCTTGCTTTCCAGATTTATCTTCCTTTCTAGCTTTTAGATGATCTACAGCGTTGTGAACATTTATGACGTTGTTAACCGTCTTTTTGTCTAGCTTTTTAGCCGGTTTATCTTCCAATATTGGAGTTCTTTTGTGGCCATCGATGAGTTTGCGCAATCTTTCCACCTTTGGCTCGTCTTTATACTTGTCTATCTGTTGAGAAATGTTGTCTTCTTCAGGTTCAGATAAACGTGGGCCTATTTCACGGATGCTGTTGCCGAGCTGGAGTCGCAGCAATGCAAGTTGAGAGATGTAGAGAAGAAAGTCTGCTTCGCTCTCTCCAATGGTATCAAGAATCTCTTTTGCTCGTTCTTCAATATCCCAGATCAGTTTGTGTTCCAGGAGTTTCTACACAAAGTGCGACATGAATTTGAAGCTCTACAATCATAAAAACTTGTCAATATATACATACAATCAAATATCTTACAATGGTGGGCTGTATATACCGGTCGCACCTGACTTCCAGAGTCCGATGCTTCCTTTTATTCATTTTTCCATTCCTCCTTCGCTAGCTTCTGGAGTTTGTACCAAGACTCAGTCCTACGGAAATATCCCTGATGATGATAATCGAGCACTGAAACATTTTCCAATCGATGGGATTTTACTCCCTTTTCACCAAAACTAAAGTCTTTGTTGTCCGCGCGACTGCGCAGGATAAACATAGGGATGTGAGCTTTTTTGGGTTCAGTAACATGCACCCATACCCAGTGAATGGGAACTGAGGTATTTTTCTTTGAAGTGCCACTCATAGCTATGGAGATATCAGAGAATGGGGTAAACTGTTCTTGTGGAATAGAATTGGATGTTATACTAGAAAGCTTCTTTTAGAATTATCTCGTTGTGTAGCTAGCTGGCAGTGAATAGTTGCTGTTTGATGATGAAAATGAAAAGAAACGAAATGAAACAATTGACTTTATATAGCTTATTCAACAGGTGGACAGCGGGCCCGAAAGTTTTGGCCGGCTAGAAGATTGGTGACTATCCCTAAGAATTCTAGATCAAGGCAATAGACCTGGTGAAGAGGGCTTATAAGCGACAGTATCTTAGCCAGGCAATTACTTTCTTATGAAGGACGCCATGTAAGTCAGTTCCTCTGGAATAATGACATGTCCTAAACCTTCATAGAGTTTCCACTCAACACTGTACCCCACACTCTCCAATACTCTTCTCATATCTTCACCCCACTCCAATTTCACTTTCGTGTCATTTGTACCATGGGCTAAGAGAATCCTCGTGTCTCCTTCCGTAGATAGCGTCATATCATCTCGGGGTCGGAAAGATGAGAGACCTAACTCGCGTCTTAACCAACTCTGAACAAGAACTCTCCTTTGTCTCCAATCTTTTCCAGCAGCAGCAACTTCAGCAATTTGTTTCGCAAACGGCAACCATCCACTAAACCCTACAAATCCTCCAATCTTCTGTGACACTTCCAATCGATCCAACTCCCCACTCAATAACAAAACCACGCTCATAGCACATCCCTGACTAAGACCTCCTACAAAGACTTTGCGATCTTCGTAATGAGATCCATTGTCCACTACAGCCTCAATGAGATTGCCCAAATACTCTACGCTTTCTCTTAGCCCCTCTTTCTGTTGTTCTTCCCCTATCGTTCGGTCTGAAAAATCGGCAATGTCAAACCAAGCGTTGGTCAAATTTCCGCCAAATACAGTAGTCTTTCGCAGGATTCCGGATGGAAAAGTGAGTTTAGTGTATGGGAGTAGAACATCAAAGTGAACCAGCGCCATGAGCTCTTGTGCAAACGGGACTCCCCAGGATGATGTACCATGAAGTAGAACAAGGGTATTTTGATTCGGCTTCGGGGATTCGACAATGAATGGTGGCGGACGTGTTTCCGCTTGTACAGTGGGAGGTGATGGAATTTTGTGTGCGTCAGCCATCAAAGTGAGCACGTGCTGTTCGGAGTGAAACGGGTAGTACGACAAGATGCTTGTCAGGCCTAACAGAAGAATAAGCAGGAATCTGTTCTTTATCATACCCATAATGGATGAGTTTCGAATATATACTATAGTTGTGGTTAGAGGTGGGGTCTTTCGCACAACATCGCACCTTCTTCGATTGGTTACACAACTTCACGTGCATGTGACGCTCACAAGCACGCGGCCCCAGTCAGTCGTGGTATACCCAAACCGGTATTCAATCTTTCTTAAATAAACGAAAAATCATTAACATATTTTTTCAAAATAAAATTAATAGTCAGTTTTCCATTCAGTGAATTAGAATATGCTGTTGCAAGTTTGTCCATTCCAGATTATTGATCGATTTCGAAAATTGATCTATATTTGGTGTAATGTGAAATGTGTACCACGACTGAGAGAAGCGACTTGACAATGTTCACGGAAAATGTCATTGGTTATATTGCCATGAATTATCTTTGCTATTCAGTCTGAAGCTAGATGACTCAGTTGCGAATTGTTGTTTCATCTGAGCGAAGGGCAGAGAGTTTTGTTGTAACAAATATTAAATGTGACAGAGAAACTAAGATCTATGCTGCAGAGTTGACATATATCTTTACCTCCACTTCATTACTCCATCCACCTGAAAGCTCAAGCTCCTTCCATGCCGCCAATGTGTCGATTTCAAGAACATGGGGATCAGCCTTGCTAATACTGACTGTGTGAAGTGGTACAACCTTACCAAGGATGGTGACTAACAGCGTGTCTTCGTATGATACATTAGGAAGAGTCGAGATGTAGATTCCTAAAGATCAAATTAGGATCTGGATCTTATTTTTTCTGGAAAAGAAAAAGATAATAGGTTGAACTTACCAAGAGTTCCTAGAGCTTTAATATTTGTGTCGACCAAAATTTTGCCATTCTCTGATTTCGTCATTTTGGTGCCGACAATCGCTGCAGCTCCGGCCATTTTACCAAGGAGACCTAAGTTAGCTATCCATGTAGTATTGTCATTTTTTTGATCAACAAATCCGCGCAAAGGATAGGCTGATAAGATATCGTATCCTCTAACAGCGAGAGAAACGTATATCAAAGCCTGAGGGTCCACAACTTGCATAGGCTGAGAGATAGCTCCACTAGAATGTGCACGAATGATATAAAACTGTGCCTCTTCAACACCAGGAAACTTTGACAATGGCACCAATTCACTAAGTGGTCTCTGAGATACGTTGAAGAAGCCGATTATACCAGTCCCTGTGTACGCAGCGCCATGGTATGTTCCGATTGGGAGTATGTGATCATCGTCGTACCCATTATATTGATCTAGACTCTTACCAACGACACTAGGTCTAAAAATTATAGTTTTGCCTCGAGGAGTAGGACCAGTCATTTGGTTGATAAGATCGAGGTCGTGTTGACCTGGCACATCTGTAATGTATATTGGACCACCACTAACACATCTAGCAGCTGCATGGAAGCCAGAATAGTCATGAACGGTCTGAAACATGTCCCAATCTGGGATGAGGTTGAGATGCTGGGTGAACAAAGCATTGTGGGCATTGGTGAAAACATGCCATGGGTGACTTGTTGGAATTTCGGGAAAAAAGTCATCAGAGTTCCGCACGAGAATTGGAGGTCTGTTCTGGGGTAATTGAGAATGAAAGAGAATTTGCGGAATCTGTGACATGCAAGAGATTACTTTGACACTGAAGTGTCGAAGAGTTGAAAGGGTCCACGCATCTTGGTATGCGGATATAAGATCACTGCGATCTTCGGCAGACTCGAAGAGATCAAGCATAAATTGAGCACTGATTCATGTTAGCAAGAAATCAAGAAGTTTTGGTCCACTTACTCGGTCTTGACTGCATCAACTCCACAAGATGAAAGAAACGAATAAAAGTCGTCGTAGAACTGCCGAACATCTTCTTTGGCTACCACAGTCATTTTACCACCCAAAGGTAGATTTCGTCTCTCGGAATCTCGGCGAATGACTTCGACTGTCTTGTAAGTCTCAGCGATTTTGCCATCCGCGGCAAGACCACCCCAGTAGCCCAGAATCGCGTGCCATACAGCAACATGCTGGATACTAGGCTGTTTCTGTCGGATGAGCGATATGGTGTGTTTCAAGCCATTTGGAAATGCTTCTCTTTCTGCCTCAAACTCAATCCAACCGTGTTGGAATTGACCATGCCCTTTATAGTCAATGGCCTGCCAATTATCGTCAATGATGAAGTTCGTGACGTTGATTTTGTTCTCTGCTAGAATATCGACTGCTTTGAGTATCTTATCTTCGGTTAGTCGTTGCCCAAGCGCATTCCATGTGCCTGTATAGTTGGTTAGTAAATTATTTTAACTATGTCGGGAGAGTTATTGGGTATACAATAAGTCAAGCCATCACACCAGTTTTCAGCCCAAACCTTTGTTTTCTCGTCCCCTTCTTCGAGCGCTTCGATCTCCTTTTGCGTCTGTCCAGACTCACTCTCGAGAGCCGCAACAACATCTCTAGCATGATACATGACTGCCGCATTAGCAGACTCATAGTCATCTCCAAGCCCAACAAGGACATGAGCAACAGACTCCTTGGGGTTATCATTTCGAACCTGTCTGGATTAGAATCGCAATAGTCAAGCCTTGAAAAGTTAGAACATACTTCCAAGACAACGTTGCCATCACTGTCACTCTTGAACAGAGTCATGACATTATTTATTCCACTGATAGCTAGTAAAACAATGTGCTTGCCATCCGAGCTTAAAAAGGAACAAGTCACGGCCTCTTTATCAAGCTCAAAACGAGTTTTCCCCTGTCGGGGGGCCAGCCAGGGTGTCCAAATTCGAATCAAAGCAAACCATCTAGCTATATTAGCAAAGGCTTAAACATTAGGTGATGACGAAGAGTCAGACCAACCTTGCCAGTTTATCTTGGCCCCAAGGGAGCCCAAATTTAATGTCCTTTACAGTAGACTCTTTTCCAACAGCCCCTTCAATTGGGACCTGCACTGACCATAGAGTAGTACCTGGGGATTGACTTCGATAGTTCTTGACCTCTAGTGACGTATTCAAATCCTGAACATAGTCGGATAAATTACTTGAAATGTTCTCCTGGGAAGTGATCGTCTTCAAGACAATTCTCCCATCTGGCGTTCCCTGGTGGTCTTTTACGAGATTCCAAGGTTGGCTCGAGTTGCTTCGGAATTTGACTGTGAAATTCGTTGGGAGACGAGCGGGTAAAGAGGCTTTGAAGTATAATTGATGGAGTCCCAAAGGTGCCACGGTTTGCAAAACCTTTGGTTGGGAATCTGTCTTATCCACAGACTCCATAAGAGATTCCTCCCATTGGTCTCCATTGCTGCTGTACAGAAGTGAAACTTCCCATGATTCAATGGCACGACTTTCATCAACCTCTAGTAAAGCTGTAACGACCTTGGTATGATCGGGAACAGTCGTCAATTGACCCAAAGGAGGATAAGTTGAGATGTACGCCTTCAAACTCGGATGGTCTGCAGTGGGAGGGCCTTTTTGTTTTGGAATATACTTCGCTTGGAAGACTTCATTGCCATCTGCTCCACTGATGAACGTCTGAGCTTCAGTCATTTTTACTCAAAGGGTAGAATCAATCTGATGTATTGTGTAGTAAGGTTAAGTTGAAGGAAGTAGCATATAGGAATTTTATAGAAAAGGTAAGAGTTTCAGGAAAACGGAGGAAAACTAGGAAAGCCTGTTATTAAATAGATGGAGCAGGTGTGAAGTGTCAACGAATAGATTTCAATTTGTGGTACAGAGTTCCTTCTCAACCCCGTGACTATCTGTGTGAATCTGTTCTTTTTCTTCTGTACAATGTGGTTGGATGGATGAATGGTCTCAGTATATGTCAATCCAACTTGCAGTGTACGAAATGGATTATGGAGGTTGTTCTTCCGTGCCTCTGAATGTGGACACTGGAGAGCACGTGGAGATAAACACAGGCGCGAATGGAGAACCCCTGACTAGCGGCGGGTTGATCAATTTCTTGGTGGTCGGATAAACGTATGCCGGATCGCCGTAAAATTATTTTGGCCCGCAAGAATTGCAAATGGGTATTGAAGCAGGACATTTGTCGTAGAAGCCCTCGGTCGCGAGACCTTTCTGTTTTCTCCGAAATTCTTCATGTCTTCGTGAAACACTCCCATCTTTCAGTCACACAAGATGGCAACCACTTCTCTCCTTCGATACTCGGCTCGGCCTGACCCTTATGTTTGCGCAAGATGCGCTTTCAGAGCCTCTCGAAATTCAAATAAAGCGTCGAGAAGATGGATTGGAATGAAATACCTAGCGAAAGCGGCAGATGCGCAAGTGGCGTGGGCCAAGAATGCTGCGGAAATCAAGACAGGGAAGAAGAAGAGCATGCTTTCAATTCTGGAGGAGCGAGGATATGTACATCAGATAACTGGGTAGGTACCCCTCCTTGGCTTCTTCGATGCGAGACGTTAACTTATGTTTCAGTTCGAGAGACGAACTTGATCGTGCGATGACGGAAAACCGGCTTGGTGCGTATGTAGGTGTAGATCCTACGGCGCCTTCACTTCATGTTGGCCATTTACTACCCTTCATGTCCCTGTTCTGGATGTATATACATGGTTACCACACGGTTTCGTTGGTTGGAGGAGCTACTGCAAAGATCGGCGACCCGACTGATCGTTTGACCACACGAGAGAAGATGAAGAGTACAACGAGGAATGAAAATATATTGAAGATGCATTATCAATTGAAAGGCATTTGGTTGAACGTCGAGGCGTATGGAAGAAAATATGGATATCAATGGGAATGGGCATGGAGAAGAGGGTTGGTGAATAACCATCACTGGATGAATAAATTGACAGTGATGGAGCTTCTCCAAATTCTTGGCCCAGGCATGAGAATAGGTGCGATGATTGCCAAAGACACGTAAGTATATTCCCTTTGTGCGTCTGCTAAAACCCTGACTAATATTCACAGTGTCAAGAATAAGATGAACAATGGCGATGGCATGTCCTATTCTGAGTTTTCATATCCTTTATTGCAATCATGGGATTGGTGGCACATGTACAATACGAAAGGCATAACAATGCAGATCGGTGGCTCTGATCAGTACGGCAACATCACAGCTGGCATTGATGCTGTCAAATATATTTTAGCGAATCATCCTGACCCTGTAGTACAAGAACAACACCGA